TGGTTCAAGCCATGGCAGATGTTATATTAAAGAAGAAAAATATCTTCACATTGAAAAATAAAAAGATTTATGGGGTTAATCTTCAATTGATTTATATAGCTCTTGGTGCAAAATTAACCCTTCTCACATTAAACTCTATGGCCTTGTCTAAAAGTCTAGAGGAGCTGGGTTCAAATTTCTTTAAAATCAGGAAATCTGGTGGTAGTGTGAGATGGATTCCAGAGGCACTTGATATGGGATTTCCAGCCCAAGTCTCCAAGCTCTCAATGTCATCTGCTTATATGTACTTTGGCCCAATACTGGAGTGGAGCCAAAGCGTTCTGGTGATTTGGTGATTCCTCAATCCAAACAAAGATTTTTTTATTCCCTATTTTTGCTTCCTTAATCAATTTTTGAAATTTAGAGAATTATCTACCCGCCTTGGGAGTAGTCACAGGGATTGCTTCTCTTCTAACTTTGACCTGCTTTATTTCACATCTTGCACCACCACTCCACACAGGCAACGCTAAATTCTGTCTATTTCTTCATTCTTGGTATTCTAACTTTGGGACAAATCTAATTTTCAAAGCACATAAGTTATTCCAATCATCAATTTCAATTCCCTGACTCCTTTTTATTTTCCTAGAATCAACATATTTGAGCAGATATTTATTTTTATGCCTACATGTAACCATTAATTCGTTTCTCTTGTTTAATAAGCTAGGGTTATTTAAGTGTTTTAAGATAACTATTTTTCAACAAGGCTTAAATTACATCTATTGCCTTTTCCATTGTAAGATCTGGCTACAATGTCTCATGTAATAATAGGGGTATTACCATCAATCTTTAACTGCCAGAAATGTTTGAAAAAAGCAGAGCTGTTTGTGTATTATAAAATACAGAAACTGCTCTGCTCTCTTGAAACATTAGGCTAGAGTCATTAAATGATAAAAAATGAATATTCACAATTATAAAATAGTTTTTTTACACACACACATATATATATAGTGATTTTCCAAGTGTAGCTTAGATGTGGCACAAGGGCGAAAGAATGGGGCACCCGGTGAGAATTGAACTCACTACTCAGTTGTAACTGTTGTAGTGAGACAAGTTTGTTAACCATTACACACCACCTTGGCATATATATATATATATATATATATATATATATATATATATATATATATATATATATATATATATATATATATATATATATATATATATATATATATATATATATATATATATATATATATATATATATATATTTATTTATTTTTTTATATATATTTATCAATTTTTATTTATTTTTTATTAATCTTTAATTTCAATTAATATATGTGTAATATATATATATGTATATATATATATATATATATATATATATATATAATTTTATTTATTTTTTCTTTGTGCATCTGTTATGCTAATTTTAATTTTAAATTGTCAATCTAAATGTGCAGATGTAACTTAAATGGTAACTTTGGGTTTTAGTGGAAGTCTCTTAAGAGAAGGAATTCTCCATTCATATCCTAGATTTCATATATGTGGGTTAAAGAAAAGATTTTCAAATTTGTTTTTTGATATACCTCATTGTGAGCAGGCAAAACCACACTTTTTCTCACTCACTGTTTGACCTCCCTCCACATGCCCATAGGCTTAGCAGGGTAATGGGATGTAAGCTGATAGATAATTTCACTTCTTACTAGGCGCCAACCTACCAAGAGTTGTTTTTTTTTAAATTTTTATGAGACAGTGCAACTATGTTAAAATAATTCGAATTCATTAAGGAATGACAGTTACATAATTAACTGTCTCTACCTGAATACATGCATTTGAATTAAAAATGCTCTTAGTTTAACTCTACACATCTAATGTCTAAATTCCAAAATTTTATTTACTCTTTAATCTTTGTCAATATGAGTAGATATGTTCACCTATTGCTCAGTTCCTGTCCTGGGTATGACGATAAACTGCATCCGTGTCCTGGGTAAGATGATAAACTACATCCAACAGCAAGGCCACTGATCAGGAGATTTTGAGGAGCATGGAACCACCTCTTAATTGCTGGTGTTCCCAGGTCCACCTTGACCCAGGGTGGTAGCACCTGTTAGGGTCCCAGCTATGGGTAAATAGTTAACACCCAGACTATATCTGCGTCCTGGTATGATGATAAACTACATCCAACAGCAGGGTCTCTGATAATACGTTTTTGAAAAAATAATGTTGCCAGCTGTATGTTTTTGAAAAAATGTTACCAGCTATATTTTTTTTTTGAAAGAATAGTGTTACTGGCTATATGTTTTTGAAAAAATAATATTACCAGCTATACGTTTTTGAAGAAATATTAATATAAGCTATATGTTTTGGGAAAATAATATTACCAGCTGTATGTTTTGGAAAAATAGTATTACCAGCTGTACATTTTGGAAAAATAGTATTACCAGCTATACGTTTTTGAGGAAAAAAAATATTAACAGAAATAGATTTTTGACAAAACAAAAATATTAGCAAAAAAAAAAAAAGAAAGGAAAAAAAGTTGTCAACATTAAATGACCCATTGAGGTTGATGTGCCATAAAACAAAACAAACAAACTATTGCTCAGTTCACACTCCTTCCCAGTCTTTTGAACAGGACTAGAGGTTTATCCCTTGTTTCCTGTCTTATATAGTCACAATATAAAGTAGAAGTTTATATAACCTTATTAGACTTAATTCAGCTTTAGCGCTGAAAACGTTATATTTATTGTAATGGATTGTTAAAAGCAAGAGAGGAGATGGGATGTGTTTATTTTATTAGTGAGAGAGGAGATGGGATGTGTTTATTTTATTAGTGAGAGAAGAGATGGGATGTGCTTATTTTATTACCACAGATTGAGTTTCCATGTTCTAAAGCTTTCTCATTCTCTTTTACTCCCAGCAACCCCTTGTGTCTTGCTTGGGATGAAATAATTAAAAAAGAAAATAGATTTAAAGGAAACAAAAATTTGGTAATATTTGTTTACTAAATTCTGCTCTTCTACCACAGACTACATAAACAAGGAATAAAATGTTAGTACAAGTTAAATATCCTTTATCTGAAATTCCAATATCTAAAAATCTTCAAAATCCAAAAGTTTTTCAGGTGCTGACATGACTTGCCACAAATGGAAAATTTCAGAAATCAACATGCCTACCAATAACATGATTATTGCATTGCAGAGTTACAAATAAAATGCTGACCTTTTTCAGTTTTTATTACATTTAATTGTAATCAGAATCCATGTTTTGTTTTTATATAAATACTGTATCTGTATCTATTGTAAGATTTTAATCAAAACACAACATTGTTGGTAGAGACTGATAGCTTACCGAATTTTCCTTCTCACACTTAATGTCATTGATTATGTACCTTGAATTTCCAGTTTCTCACACCTGACCTAGAGTTAGTGTTTGGTGTTGCATTTATATATTTTTTGTAAGTGGTGATCATATTTTTTGTATATGAACAGAAAGTACAAAATATTATTTTTAGGTTAAATCTTAATTTTACCACTTAAAAATCTATGTGAGCATTATATGACTACCATCATTACCTGTATCTGTATGTACACAAAATTTATTAAATTTTATATAAAACTGCATTCAGGATATATGTTATTTATATAAAACTACCTTCAGGGTATATGCATAAGCTGTGTTATGAAATGTAAAGGGATATTGTATTTATACTTGGATTCCATTTCCAAGCTGCCTCATTTTATAGATGCCATATACAAATTATATAGCCTGTATTCCAAAATGTGAAAAATCAGAAAACTGAAACACTTCTTGTCCCAAAAATTTTGGATGAAGGATTCTCAACCTGTATAATAATAATTAGTTGGCCCCATGGAAATTCTATGGATGGCAGTTGACATAATGCCTTTATGCTTTAAAGGGAGATAAATTATAATCATTCATTAAATATCCTTGCAGTCATATACTGCATATCATGTAATAGTAATTTTTAAAATAGCTTTTTATGACATTTATTTCCTTTAATCATGAAGAGCATGTCCCATGGAAATTCTATGCTTTTTGCTAATTTTTTGATGTAATGGAATAACCTGTCACCCCCATGAGTAACTACACTATAGGTAGTAACTACCTATAAGTATCTGTAAGGCAATGGACCACAGGAGTCTAGCTGGAATCTGTTGAGTACGACTCAGACTTACGCGAGAACTACCGACCTTCCAATAGTAACACTCACTATTGGATTGTCTTGCAATGACCTTGTGCATAACTGTTACCTTTATTCTCATTGTATTGGTTTTCACAATAAACCTTTACTTATTTTATCCACTGTGTTTTTCAAGTATATAATCCTATTAGCATGGAATATAACATTTTTATTACTGAAACTAATTTTAGACTGGTATATTTCATATTACTATACCATTTCACTGAAGTAGATGTTAAATGCAAAAGAAAGCATTATCGCTTCTCTTATCTTCCCCTTTTTCTCTTTCTAGAAACACATATAAACAACTTCAATACATCTCAGAATGAGGCTTGCTGGAAGTTTAAATAAAAGGGTTGGATATTTACTCTGCTGCTGTTATACCAAGAATTTGAAGGCAAGGGACAGGCAAGCTAAATTGGTAGGCAGGGGACATGTTTCATGCTAAACACAGTTTTCAGACCTTACGATTGTGTTTAGTATGAAATATACTGTCACCTATGGTTGTTAACTTCAATGTCTTATATATATATATATATATATATATATATATATATATATATATATATATATATATATATGTGTGTGTGTGTGTGTGTGTGTTATGTTTGCTTATATTTATGTAATTAACAACAGCAAGAAACATGAGGACAATATTATGCACATAAATATCATTGTTTGCACTATTCACATACAGACTGAGATGAGGAATTTATCAAGCTCCACATCCCAGTAATTCAGAGAGAAACTGTCATATATTACTTACAAATTATAATAAACTGGTAGTTTAGTATAGTTTAGTAAGTCTTGTGGCATGGTTATGGGTTGTTAGAATTTTGCTAGTTTTGTGACTGACCTAGTTGTAATAAAATGCCAAAATTATACTGAATTAGGCAACAAATGCTAAAGATGACAAACTGAAATTGGGTTGTTACTTTATCTACTTTTAATTTTAATCTTATGGGGGAAATAATCATTATTGTTGATTAGAGAAATAATCCTATTACATAAACTGAAGTATAAGTTGACAGGAACAGCCCAAGATGCAAACTTTGAATTGGGGACACTAAAATCAAGCAAGTACAAAAATTGAGTGTTATAACTGAGAATGGAAAATGCAACACTGAAATCCAAAAGATGCATTGAAATAGTGAAAGATGACTTCCAAAAGTTAAGCAAAATATTAAGAAACATGAAAATTATAAACAAAGAAAAGAGTACTGAACTGTTATGTAATATCAGTTCTCCTATATATCAGAGAATGCTGGACAATCTCCTCACAGATGAAGAAGAGATGCTGAAAATACCATGGACTGAACATGTTTTAAAGAAAATGTAAGCAAAAAAGGTCACTTATACTTAGAATCAGAAAGTGTTAAAATTTCTAGGGCACATAATGAGGACAGAGGGCTTGGAAAATTTGACACCCACAGGACATGTTGAAAGCAAGAGAGACAGAAGAAAGCAGTGAATAACCTACCTAACAAGCTTGTATAAATGGTTGGCAGAACAGGGATTAGATGTAGCAAAAGAACAAACACCATTAAACAGGGGACAGGAAGTTGTGGAGAACCATGATTGCCCATGAACACAACATATAGAAAAAGATATTATTTGGATGAGGTGACATCTTGCATATATACATAATGGCTGGCTACTCTTGTTTTCTGAGCACACTCATCTTCTAAGGTGGCTAGCCAGTCCCTGTCACAGACAGATTCTCAGGCATATTTATGTTTATTCAACATCTACAGAGTACACCTGTGGTTTATACTGCAACTATGCAGAGCAATTCTTAGTTATAGTTTCTGAGAGAGAGCACATAATAGTCATGATCAGCAATTTGAAGAACACCAGTATGTTTAAACTCTTGATCACGATGACTTCCAAATAATGGCTTCCAAACAGTTCTGTCTACCAAATTTCAGTTACAAGTTTTAAGTCAGTCTGTGCTGTGGTTTTCATACACTTACCAAATGTACTGTACATTGGCATCACCTCCCCAGCCAGATAATGTCAAGAACTTACCTTCTTGACATGTCTATCATGGTGAAATTTGAGCCTCGGTCTTATAGTCAGAAAGGAAAATGTTCTACCCACTCAGACCCGTGCCTATACATACATATACAGTCAGTCAGCCATTGTGCATAATAATAACTGATTGCTCAGTGTTCCAGTCTGATAGGGTGGCTAGCTAATCCCTGTTACAGAAATGTGCTCAGGCACATTTGTGTTTCTTCAACACTCAATCAACCTCTGTTTTATACTGCAACTTTGCTAAGCAGCCCTTAGGTACAGTTTCTGGAAGAAGGGTGCATGATCACTACTTGAACAAGACTTATAAATTCAAAACCTTGGTCACAAAGGCTCATGATTTTGTGTGAGTACAACCAATGAAAGTTCCTGAACAGTTTTGTCCACCCAATTTCATAAGGTTTGGGTTGACTATTTCCACACATTGATATTATCAAGATGTCAGCTTCTTGACAAATTGATCATGGTGAGATATGAAGTCAAATGCTAACATTCTAACCACTCAGCTGCCATGCTCATAATATTATACATAATACATAAATATAGACAAAGATACATTTACCCTCCAAATATGCATGATGACTGCCACCTCAGTTAAAACCATCACAAGATAGTACTTAATTGTACTTTAAATGAATTCTTCTTTATGTGCTGAGTCCCCTCAGGATATAGATGATCATGGCTGTCCACAAATTTCTGTCCTTTGTAGCACTTAATAAATTTTGTCTTTTTGCTATTTCTTCTAAACTCTGTTCCACCATCCATTTGCTCAAGCCCATAAAATATGTTATGCATTGTTTTCCTCTGTCCCTCAGTCTGTCTTATGAGCATCAGATTTCCCAAGCCTTCCTTTCTCATTACGTGCCCCAGAAATTTCAACTGTCTCTTCTTGATGTTAATTATAAGTTTTCTTTTTGTTTCCATTTTCTCTAAAACCTCACATTGTTGCTGCTCACATGTTTTGTCCATAGTATCTTCAGAATCCTTCTGTCGAACCACATTTCTGTTGCTTCAAATCTCTTCTTCATCCTTGAGGAGATTGTCCAGCAGTCACGTAACAGTTCAGTACTTTATTCTTTATTTTTAGCAAAGTTTTGAATATGGCTTGTTAAACCAGACAAACTTTTAAAACCAGTGGCACAAAAATTAATTGGTTATAAGTGCCTTTTTCAGCTTTCATTCATAATGTAAACACATCTTATATATCAAGCAATGCCTCTGCATTAAATTTTTAAAGTGAAGAATGATGTTGCACTTTCTAAGCAAGAACAGCATGTGCCCAAAAAGAAGAACCAGTCAGTATTATTGGATGCGGTCAAACCGCAGATGTCATATCAAAATTTTCCTTCTCCTAGTTGGATTACCTTAACAAAGTAAGGAATACAACTAAGAGAACTAGACATGTATTAAATAAATATAGACATTTAAATATGAATAAAGGCAAAAGGAAAAATTATCTTAGCTGATGCATTTTGTCTTCTGATAGACTTTATTAAGGCAATTGTAAGGATTTTATTTTGTAACAAGTATATATAAACAAAAGTAAAAATGCAGTTAGTTTTACAAAATTTTTAAATTTAAGAAAACTCATAAATATTCATCAAGGTTAACTGAGAAGGCTAGGTAAATTAAACAAAAGTGAGTAAATGATCTATTTTTGTTGATTTTTTTTAATGGATATGATCAGAACCAAAAATACCCATAAAAAAATAATAACTCTAAAGAAGGTATATATAAAACAAACTGTCATGACTTCTCTTCACAATACATTGGGGAAGCTTGCAGAAATTTAAAAAAAACATGTCTATGAACACATAAGGATCTGATACAAATTTTATCAAATGCATTCGTCATACTTAGAAATAAATTCAATCACAACTTTGATCTAAACAGTACCACACTTATTAAAAGAGAAAGTAAGTTACTTAGACAGAAAATTCTCAAGAGTGCCATTATCAAATGTTATCAAAATATAAATCTGTGCCCTGGATTTTTTTCAAATATCTGTTCTTGAAAGGATTACTCCTTTCCCAAGCCAACATTAATGACTATAAAAATTGTTAAAAACTTAAACAAAAATTGTTAAGTTTATAACCTCCTTTTATTTAAAATGCATAATACATAATTTATCCCAAACTAAAATAATATAAATATTTTTTTCTAATGTTTTAAAGGGTTTTATACTAATTTTCATTAATAACTTTTCTGATGTCATCTGTTCTCAACTTGGTATCTATACTAATGACACAACTATTTACTCCTGTCTTAATCGTAAGTCTAATCAGTTTGATAGGGTCAAATTGGCAGTTGATCTCAAAAATGACTTACAATCTGTTGTTAACTGGGACAAGGAATAGATTGTTAATTTTAATGGCTCCAAAATGAAAATGCTTTCTTTTAATTGTCTGAGAGAACCCTTGTTGCCTTCCATCAGCAGAGAGTGACTTATTGCACCTTCTCAGGTAACATTTTCTGCTGACATGAAGTGGAAACATTATATTGAATCAGTTGCGAGGTCTGCTGCTTAGAAAGTTGGCTTCCTGTGTCATGCTAGACAATTTTTCTTAACAGAATCTATTGTACATATTTATAAGTCTACCATTTATCCTTGCTTTGAAAATTGCTGCCACATCTAGTCATGTACTTCTGATATATATTTATAGATTCTTGATAAAATCCAAAGAATTTGTAATGTTATTGGTGCTGACCTGACATTTTGGCTTCAGTCATTTTCCAACTGCTGTAACGTAGCATCCCTGCACTTTTTCTATAAATACTTTCATGGTAATTGTTCTGATGAACTTTCAACTATGTTACCTAGATTTTATGAATTTAAGTGCAATACTAGATTGGCAGCTAGGTCTCATCATTTTACAGTTGAAATGGCAAGACGTCACCATAAATTCTATGCTAACAGTTTCTTCTCTCACACTTCTTGCTTGTGTAACATTCTGCCAAGCTTCTTGCTTTCCAGTCAAGTCCAAAAATTTAAATGCAAGGTAATATTGTTATCTTCTGTCCTCTTAATTCATCTTTTTTTGTTCTCTCTCTTTAATAGTGTTTTTTTTTTTATTGTTACCCTCAGTAAACCCTTGCATTTTAGTGACATTATTGCCTTGATTGGGGTGAAATGATTAAAAAGTAAGAAAAAAGGTAATATTAACTGTTTCCTTATAAGGAATCGTTATTTACTAATTGCATATCTTGAATTTTTATAATGGATTCAGGTAGGTGTTATCACTGCTTTGTTTGTTTTGTTTGTTTAGCTGCATATCAACTCCTTATGTGTCATTTAATGCTGAAATTTACTTTTCTTGGGTGCATTTGTAATTACTTTAACAAATGTATTACTGGTAATTTTTTAATATTTTTGTTACAAAAATGTATTGCTGGTAATATTTTTTCATTATGTAAATGTATTGCTGGTATTTTTACTATAAATTATTTTATACTTTCATAGTGAATTTGGGGATTGACTATTTGCCCATAGCTGGTACCCTAACAGGTGCTACCACCTCAGGTCAGGGTTGACCTGGGAACACCAGCAATTAAGAGGTGGTTCCATGCTTTTCAAAACCTCCTGATCAGAGGCTTTGCTGCTGGATGTTGTTTTCACTGCTTTCTTTACAATATTTATTAAATTTATCTTAGTTTGACACAAGGCTACAATAGTTTAGCATCCTGTAAAGATTGAACTCACTATATGGGCAGTTCTTTGAGAGAATCATTGCCCTACAAAAAAATGCTCTGCATACACACACACACATGTGTGCGTGTGTCATTGGAGTGGGGATGGATCAATTATAATAAATCTAATTATCTTAGGATTAGCAGTTTAATGATAATCCATAAGCCTTTTCATTCATCACATTTCAAAGTCAGTAATCCATAACATCTCACCATCTTTCCCTTTCTTTTTCCTTCATCATTTCTTTGTTCTTTTCTCTCCTTTTACATTTTCTTTCTATCTCTGTTTACTGCCACTTATCATCACCTTCTTTTTCTTTCTTGTGCTCTTCATTTTTTTTTCTTTTTCTTTTCTCCTTTCCTACTTTACTGGTTTTCTAAAGTCACTGGAAAAAAAGACAATGAGAAGCCTGCACATATAGCTTGAATACTCTTTCTTTCTTTCTTTCTTTCTTTCCAACTGTTCCTAATTTCTATTTCTTTCTTTCATCTTATTCTTTCTTTCTTTCTTTCTTTCTTTCTTTCTTTCTTTCTTTCTTTTCCAACTGTTCCTAATTTCTTTTTCTTTCTTTCTTTCTTTCTTTCTTTCTTTCTTTCTTTCTTTCTTTCTTTCTTTCTTTCTTCCCAACTGTTCCTAATTTCTTTTTCTTTCTTTTATCTTATTCTTTCTTTCTTTCTTTCTTTCTTTCTTTCTTTCTTTCTTTCTTTCTTTCTTTCTTCCCAACTGTTCCTAATTTTTCTTTCTTTCTTTCTTTCTTTCTTTCTTTCTTTCTTTCTTTCTTTCTTTCTTTCTTTCTTTCAATGTAAAGGTTTTTTCTTTTCTTTTATTCCTCTCTGTCCCTTTGTATTTTTCTTTCTTTCTCTTCTCTCTCTTTCTATATTCATATTTTAAACATTTTTGTTTACTCTCAATCAATTTGTTCCCCCTATCACCCTTTTCTTCTTTCTTTCAAAAAATACCTAGCTTTTTACTATCTTAACTCAACTGGATTTTACTTCATAAAATATAACCAATTTAAATTCATATTAAATACACAATATGACAATTTTTTAAATTCATTGACTGTAAAATATTTGTAGTAGTAGGCTAAGTTTAAAAAATAAAATGAAATAAAAATATTTCTTAAATACCTCGAAAAGTATCACCTACTTATCCTCTTAACACTTCATTAATATTAACACCAGCTTTCATAAGGATAGGGCTATCAGTTAACTTTGTTTCTGAAACCAGATAATGGGATAAGCAAAACAAAAGAACAGAGACTCTGTACTGAAGCAAAGGGCAATCCTACACACACACTACACTCCCTGACCATTTACTAACCTCAATATAAACCCAGAAAAAGAGGGGTTTGAGGACAGTTCTCTCTATCATTTCATCAGAAAGCTGGACAGGCTGATCAACTCCTTTAACCACCAAAGAACTAATTGGGATAACTGCCTGCTAAAAAGTAGGAAGTGTCTTACTCTCTCTCTTTCTGTTCCAATTTTCCACAAGCTATAAATGTTGTCACACAAGAAGGATACAATTTGCATCCATAAAAAAGAAAATAAACCTTCCAAAATGATGTTGGCTCAGCGTTAATTCATTTTGAATGTAAAACCAACATTCCACATAGTTATCTCTGATTTATGTTAGCAACTTTACTTTGAACTTTAAACCTCACTGATGTAAAATATCTGAAGAAGTAACTAGTCATTTCTATTAAATGCTGCTGCTGGCTTAGGTATATTTTTAACTTGTTGGTTGTTGACTGGTTGATTTTTGTTTAGTGGCATATTAACCTCTGTTGGTTACTTAATGCAAAAATCTAAATATTTTTTGTATGCAATTTTATTTTATTTTTGGAGATAATAATGGTTTAATGACACGTCTTACTATTTAACCCATAGCTGGATGGAGACGAGTTGGAGTCATACCTTTTCCCAGGGAGATTTGTGCATAAGTGAATATAACGAACCCAACTGGAATTAGAATTTGGCTCTCTGATTAACAATTTGGAGCCATTATCCATTATATCACCTGCAAATCCAAGCTTACAGAACCTGGTATTCCCAAGTGGTCACCCATCTAAGTACTGACTAGACTCGATACTGCTTAACATTGGTGATCATACAGGAACTGGTGTTTCCTCATGTTGTGACTGTAAGCCATTTTAACTTGTGAGATAATATCTTGGACTTTAAAAAACCTGTTTGTTTTGATGTTATTTTTTGACAATAAAAAGCTTTTGAATAGATTTTGGCTTTAAATGTGCTCACAAAAACACACACATGCATGAACACATACACACTAGTAGATATACTATATTTAGTATCTTTCACTTAAATTTAATATTTGGCTGAATGTGCAAGTGTTGTATTAGATAATGGTTTGGAACAAGAAATTGATGAGCTGTGTGCAATTTCCAGTTGATTTTGTTACATTTTCACACCAATACCCTTGGGAAAAGTATGAATCCATCTTTTCTCTCCCCAGTTACAAGTAATAGCAGAGAAGGCTAAGCTCTTCAGCCTTGGTTGGTAACCACTCTAGGAGAATGGAAACTCTGAATTCCCAAACCTGAGTAGATAGATGTAACTTGATAGCATGTGAACACATAGTTGCCTAAGAGAATCTAAACACTAAGAGAAAAGTAATAGTCCCTCAGAATATACAGGTTGGGTATGGGGCCAATTAAACCATCCTGTGGAACAGTTCAACAACAAAAATATTACCAGAAGCCTTATATGCCATGTGGCACTAGGTTGATAGCACATATGAAGTTTGGTAAAATACAAGAATTAGTAATCTACAGTGTCAAGGGAAGCATTAAGCTATCAAACAACAAATAAGACTTGGGAGTTATTTTTTCAAGCATTTTTTAGGAGTAGTCTTATTGGAGGGGGCTATTATATGCCATAAAATATATCAACATGATAGAAATATAAAAAAATGTATTCATTATGCTAGATTTCAAATAATAAAATCAGATTTTTTCTTTTTTCAGTAGTGAATGCTGAACAGTCTCCTCACAAGTGAAGAAGCGACTTGAAGCAACAGAAATATAGTTCTACAGAAGGATGCTGAGAATACTCTGGACTGAACATTTGATCAACAATGTAGTTTTAGAGAAAAGGGAAACAAAAAGAACACTTATATTTAACATCAGAAAGAGATAGTTGAAATTTCAAGGGCACTTAATTAGGAAAGAGGGCTTGGAAAATTTTATACTCACGGGACATATTGAAGGCAAGAGGGACAAACGAAAAAATGCATAACCTACCTAGTGAGCTTGTATAAGTGGATGGCAGAACAGTGTTTAGGAGAGATAGCAAGAAGATGAAATTTACTAAGAACTACAAAGGACAGGAAATTGTGGAGAGCCATGATTTCCAACATCCTGAATGGACATGGCACATAGAAAAAAGAGAAGAAGAAAAAGAAGAAAAAGTAATTATAAATGGTGTTTTTGAAACTTTCATTAGTTTAAAAATTTATATCTAATTATATTTCTGGCAAAGTTTTAATTCATTATATATATTGTAACTATAAAACATACATATTTTATCATATATATTTAATTCATACTTTAACACACACTCATATATATATATATATATATATATATATATATATATATATATATATATAATATAATATAAAAGGCTCAAACACTAATATTCCATGTTTATAATTTATTACATTGGAATTGTGATCATGATCCAAGTCTGATGAAATGGATTGTGATTATGATTCCAATGTAATAAATTATAACCATGAAATATTAGTGTTTGAGCCTTTTTATATTATATTCTTACTCAGTCCTGGACATTGAGTTCTACCTGGATTCTATCTTCTTGGAAATTTATGTGTATATATATATATAGACCACTAATATTATCTATCTATATATATATATATTTAGTGAATATACATAATATCCAATGCCTCTATTTGATTGATGCATTCAGTGGATTCAAAGCCTGCAAGGTGGTTTCTAATGGATGGGAATAGGAAGTCTCTATTGATATGGTCATATATGAGATTGACAAAGCAGGTATGTATACAGTTTCCTATAAGAGGGGTAAGCAATTTTTTGGAGTTGATGATTGATGACATATAAACCATCATTGCATTCCTTGCCAAAATGAAAACCAAACTTGTTTATGAGGAGCTGACTTTCACAAAACGATGAGAGCCATGTTAATATAATGTTCATTAAAACCTTTACCATGATGGATTGAATTGAGATACCTCTTTATATGTGAGGATCTTGAGGGCAAGAGTCACAACCAAGTCAATGTAACTCTTGCATATATACAACATCAAGGTTTGCTTTCTTGCATTCTTCTAAATGGAAGCACACCCTGAAATAATCTGATCCTGGCTGGATGTTGATTTGTCCCAATGTTATTTGAGTTACACTTTTCTTCATTCCCTAGCCATTGTGCTGTGACCAAAGTGTAGTATCTATTCTCCTCATCTCTAATGGTAATAGTAATATTAGCTGTTTTGTTATAAGATTTATAGATTTCTATTATTTTGTATATGCTTAACATGTGACCTGTGTAGACATATACAGTTTGGAGCTGCCCAATTTTTTTGTTCTATTCTTCTCCTTTTTACTTAGCTTTTTTGGAGTGGCGGTGGGTGGTGGTTTTGGCTCCTAACCTTTGCTTATGTGACCTGGATGATTGTTTTTTTTTTTGCCAAAATTAGCAGAAGAAAAATTAGTCAAGTCTTTAAAGTGTCAAATTTTAAAATTTAATGGTAATGGTGATATTAGCTGTTTTCTTATAAGGATACATTCTACATTCATTTACTGAGCAGCTAGTGTTACTTGAGTTACATTTTTCTTCCTCTCCTGGACATTGTACTGGGACCAAACTGTTCACCTCATCTAATGGTAATGGTAATATTAGCCACTTCCTTATAAGAAAACTTTTGGCATTCATTGACTGAGCAGCCAGTGCTACTTTCGGTTGAAACTTATAAAACCTTTCTATTAGAACAAGCTTTTGGAAAATAGGATTCTCAAGTCCAGTAATTGTTATTGCTCTTTCCAGTATTAATGGCTTCACTCCTAACTTTTTGTTTGAAGTAGTGTGGAATGTAAACCTCTTGATTATGTCATTACTTTCTTTTTGAGTTACAAGTGATATCCATTTTAGTTGTTGCTGCTAGAAAGCAGTTATATATAATTGGCAGTTTAGACATTTCTGAACTGGTTGGGTGCCATGTGTGACATCCATATGAAAGTCTTGACAAGTTCTTAGGTTAATGGTAGCATCTTGCAGTGTAGGACAAAACTATACCTGGTGCAACTATTCAATGTTCAATTTCCTCATCTCCTATACTAAATTTGTTATAACTGATCCATACACCAAGTGTTTAGTATTTACTAATTCCACATCCTGCTATCATTGCTTTTGTTTTAATTCCAGATCATTGTTTATATTTTGAAAAGATTTGTTATGAGTCCTATTTGATAAAGGATGTTGATTTTTTTTGTTCAAGATAATTCTTATCTCAACTATGAATACCTAGGTCATCAACATTACCCCCACTGATCATCAGTACATTGGCCTTGGGAGAGAAAACAGAAATGCTGTATTATTATTATTCCATTAGCAAAATATTTGTTGCTATTGATATATAATTATAAGACCTGTGAAAATGTCACAGTTTTCCTATTTTTAATTTTCTGATGAACCTTAATTCTTCAGTTAATGATTAGTGAATATTATGACAATGAAATATCTGTAGAAATTCACCTTTTGCATTGTTAAATATTTGAGCTTAACAACTTTAACAAAATATTGCAATAACAATTATAAATATGAATGCTGGTCATTATTTTAAGAAGTTGGTACAAATGAGAAGATTTGATATTGACTACTTTTCCATTTCACTAAAACAGATGTTAAACATTTCTTTCTTTCTTTCTTTCTTTCTTTCTTTCTTTCTTTCTTTCTTTCTTTCTTTCTTTCTTTGATTTTCTCACTGAAACCAAATAGTGTCTTTTCCCCTCTTTCCACACAATCAAAACGAAATAGTTCATTATTTATGAGGTATCGGTAGGGCACAACAGTCATGCAAACTAACGAAGGGAGGGAGCAAGCACAATTGTAAGCAATGTTTGTTAAATTCGGTAAAAAATAGAATTATTTTCCATCAGTTTTAACCCGTGAAAAATTCATGGTTTTCCTATTTTAATATTCTGATGATTCTTAATTCTTAAGTTTAATGATTGAGTAAACTCATGGTGAGTTCTATGATAATAAAATATCTCTAGAAATTCCCCTTTTGCATTGTTAAATATTTAAGCTTAATAACTTAACAAAATATTGCAATAACAATCATCCTATTATAATAATGCTTGTCCCTTCCTTCTCGGTCTTTAGGCTAAGATCAAAGTGTAGTATCTGTTCTTATATTATCTCTCTCTCTCTCTCTCCCCCCTCTCTCTCTCACCACTTTTATCTTCACTTCTTTCTTATTTATATGTGAAAAGGATTGACTGAGCTCATGGCAAGTTCTGCGACAATAAAATATCCGTAGAAATTCCCAAATTGCATTGTTAAATATTTAAGCTTAATAACTTATATTGCAAGAGCAATCATAAATATGAATGCTAGTTTTTATTTTAGGAAGTGGGTACAAATGATAAGATTTGAAATTGACAACTTTTTCAATTTCACTAAAACAGATGTTAAACATTTCTTCTTTCTTTCTAGCCCAAACAAACATCTTACAAACATATCTCTTAATAATAATTTTAAAATAATTCAGCAGACAATGTTATTTTATTTATGATAATTGGATTTTTGGTGATTACTTTACTTGGTTTCTGTTGTTTGATACTGTGATTCTGAAAAATGGCACAATTATCATGGTTGTCATTGCTCCTTGGCCTTTTGGCTTAGGGAGGTTCAAATAATTTTAAGCCCAAGCTTCACAGTTGCTTTCTCCCAGGCAGTACCTCTCTTTCAGGAAGGGGTGCAGTTTATTACCTGGTGGTTGAGGCATCCCCAACAAGGACAGTGCCAAGGGACTTGGTCAATTTTTCCACATATTCTTATCAGCTTAATCTGATTCTCTCTCCCACCTTCTTTCTTTCTTTCTTTTTCTCATTGAAACCAAGTAGTTTTTTTCTCTCTTTCCACGTGATCAAAACAGAATAGTCCATTATTTATGAAGGATTGAGAGGATAAATGGTTGTGTGATCTAATGAATGAAAGGACAAGCAAAATTATAATAGGATAAAAAAAAAAAAAGCAGTCATGATAGCTGTAAAAAGGATCTATTTGTATAAAACAAAAGAATGGTGGGATTAGTTCAAATGCCTTTGAACAAAGACTGAATATTGTTTTTGCTTTTATTTTGTAATCCTTTTAGCATTCTGTTATCGTACATTGTCCATGTTAATATCCTGTTCTTTTGCTATTACTCAACCTAAAATATAAATATGTTTTTGTTAGTTTTTATGCATGACTTCAGTGCATCGTTTCTCCATACAAGCACCAAATATATCAATAGCATAACACGTTTAATTCTGTCACTGGTAATCAAACAATATTTCTCATCCATGACACAGTTGAAATAGCTTTCTCTCAATCCCTCACACTTTTTCACTTTTCTATAGATGTTCATATCTATCTATCTATCTATCTATCTATCTATCTATCTATCTATCTATCTATCTATAGCTGTTCATTATCTATTTATCTATCTATCTATGCATGTCCATATCTATCTCTCCATCTATCTACACACACACATATATATATATATATATATATATATATATATATATATATATATACATATGGGAGCCCATATCTATCTATCTATCTATCTATCTATCTATCTATCTATCTATCTATCTATCTATCGTGGTTCATATCTATCTATCTATAGCTATTCATATCTATCAATCTGTCTGTCTGTTTAAAAGAATAATATTAGCCCATATAGATATATACACAAAATAATCTAATTTAATGAATAATCAAAGTGAGAATAGTTTTGCCATTAAGAGTGCTCAATATATATCTAGAGCAATAATTATTGTCATCAATAAATAAAAAGGTTCATGATACTTATATAAACCAACTGTATGTTTTGCACTGTTAACACTCCTCAGGCTCAAGATAAGAATAAATAATATTATTAGTAGAGTATGTATATATATATATATATATATATATATATATATATATATATATATATATATAATTTAAATAAAACAGCCCAATTTTAAGGTTCCATGTAATAAATTATTTCACCACAGCCCTTTTTAAAAGAACTGCGGATCATCAGACTTTACTTCCAAACAAAAATGAAAAGAAAATTATTTACTCTGAATTTACATTGAGCTCTCTGGATTTTATCCTCCTTAAGTTTACCCATACGGATTACCTAGTTTTTCATAAACTATATATATATATATATATATATATATATATATATATATATATATATATATATATATGATATATAATTTTGTATAATTTTCTATATCAACAAACAGTTTTTAGAAAAATAATGACAAATTGGAAAAAAAGTTTTTTGTGACACGTTTCATCTGTCCTAATGGATGAAATACCTCACAAAAAACATTTTTCAAATTTGTCATACTATATATATATATATATATATATATATATATATATATATATATATATATATAGATATAAACATTTGCACACTATGAAAAAATATTTTATAAAAATAGGAAACAAAACATTAAAAAATTATGGGTTATTTACTTAATTAAGTAAATACTTAATTTTTATTTATTATATTTAAATTTATAAAATTATAATTTAAATAATTAATTCATATAGTTAAATAAAAAAATGAATATTTAGGTGAGTATTCAATTCTCTAGGCCAACTTTTCTCATAATATACCATTGAAATTTCAAGTTCTCTTTCTGATTCTAAGTTTAAGCATCTTTTTTGTTTCTTTTTTGTTTTGTATCTTTTTTGTTTTTATCTTTAAAATATCCTTGTTACTCACATGTTTGGTCTATAGTATTCTCAGCATCCTTCTGTAGAACCACATCTTTGTTACCTCAAGTATCTTCTTCATCCATGAGGATTGTCCAGCATTTACCGCCATATAGGAGCAGAGCTGTTCAGTACTTTGTTTCTTAATATTTTGCTTAGCTTTTGGAAGGCAACATTTGCTGTTCGAATAACCCTTGTATTTTTGTGTCAAATTTTCCAGCCACTGTTAAAACAGTTGCCATATATTTAAATTTTCATGCCTGCTTGATATTTGCATCTCAATTTGTAGCTTACATCTTAGGCTATTCCTCTGGCTGACAACTATATATTCTCTCTTCTTACAGTTGATAGTTAGTCCTTTCTTCTCACCTTCCTTTACTACTTTGGTGTTCTTGCAGTTTCCTTTCTGTACTTGCTACCAACACTGTGTCATCTGTAATTCTTATGTTATTATGATTGTGCCTACCAATAATAAATCCAGGTAGGACTTCTAGTTCTCTCAGAATCGCCCCGCTGTAAAGGATTGGGGCTGGGGACAAAAGACAATTAATTGGACCAACATGAACAAGTTGAAGTGATTTTGTTTCATTGATCAATGTTGACTTTTTTATAATGTTCATCCTGTACAAGGCCCAAGAGCCAATCGAGGTAGAGATTTAACAGAGTAAGAGTCACCACCCCAGGTAAGTAGATAATGCCACAAATAATGCAAGGCTCCACCAGAAGTAAAAGAGAAGGGAAAAGCTTTAGAAGAAACCAGAAACCCAATCCTAAACAGGAAACAAGGGATAAACCTCTACTCCTGTTCAAAAGACAGGTGTTTACTGCTTAATTGGGTAATATTTGCTGTCAGCAATGAAATATACTGGGATAAATCAATAAGTCTGTATCCAGAAAAATAGTTATTGTCACTGTATAATATTTCATCTGCGTTACATAAATAATAATTCTAAATAAGAGAAATTTAGTCTTGTTTCCTTATTGGTCTGTACAATGAACATGTTACATCAACAATATTTTCATTTTCAGGATTCTAACAATATCATTGTCCAAATATCAACCAATGATTGACTGAGGAATCAGGCTAATTGCAGAG